GGGGGAGGGGGAAAAAAAGACACTTTGGCCGAGTCACATATCAGTAAAGTTTACGCAGCCCAGATAGAAGACGTGGATACGAGTACCAGGGCGGAAGATACCCAATGTTCCTCGATAAGCAGGAGCAGGCTCTCGTCCATCACCTTCATGTACACCAAAATATGAAGCCATCTCCGCAGCCGAACTGAAGAAGGCCTATGGAATTCACGTCACCTCCAAACAGCTGCGAAACTTCTTGTATGGAGCCACCCATGGACAGCTACCTGGAGACCGGCACTCTTGATCTGGAAGACCTCCAACATCGAGCAGCTCCGACAACGTCGCTACGGTCCAGGATATCATCTTCACGCAGTCGCCAAGGCGCGGGTTGATGGTATGGACCGGCGGTTCCTGGAATGAGAAGACCGATATTTTCTTCGTGGGCCCCGGACTGAAAGTGAGCGCTGACGGTTACATCGGCCAACTCGAGGAGAATATCCTGCCTTCATGTCGTCGCCTGTACCATCTTGGCAAACTTCGTACTGCTACAGGATTGGGTGCCAGCACGTGGAATCGAAGGGCGTTGGAAAAACTCTCGCCTACTTGGAATCGAAGGGCGTTGAGAACCTGAAGAAGACGGAATATCCAAGTGTGTCACCTGACTAAACCCCTCGATTACCGGGTTTGGGCGGAGCTCAACAGGGTGGTCTACAGTGGCGGAGAAATCAACGACCTCGCTGAACTCAGGCACCGAATCACGGTCGCGTGGCAGAATCTCTCGATGGCGCTCGTCCAGAAGGCTGTGGCGGAGTATCGCGATAGTGTACAATGTGTTGTTGAACATGAAGAATTTAATAAGGTGTTACTTATAGCGCCTTGAAAGTCAAGGAAGAAAGTGTTTTTTTTATTGGCCCCTGTATAGAGGAATAGGAGGATTAGAGAGAATTCGCATTTTGTGCATAAATCCATTATAGTTTAGATTATGAAAACAAGAACTCCTACTCAACAAAATAAAAACCACCACAAGAAAGCTGAGTTGCAGAAAAATATCAGACCACAGGCGGGACTCGAACCCAGGCCTCACGCAACCGGGCCTGTGCGCTTTCTATCACGTCGGAAAAGTCGCTCTCTCTTGTACGCTTCGTCATGGGTTAAAGAATTGTCACCAGTGGGAATTCTGACCCTGGCTTCAGCCTTCCTGGGCTAGCGTGCTAACCATTATATCACT